TCTGAGGCGGAGTGTCTGCTGACGGTGAACCGTCTTGGCGCCCTCGAGACTTCAGAAAAGTTGACCAGTTTCGTCAAGCGAAACGACCGTTCCTCAACGGCCTTTTTCACCAAAACAGGGCTGGATCATGCTGCCTCTGGACAAGGCTCAACAGCGGAAGAGGAGGAAGGAGTGAAAGGGGAAAAAGAGGAAAAAGAAGAAGAGAAGAATGAGGAGGAGGAGGAGGAGGAGGAGGAGGAGGAAGAAGAGGAGAGAAAAGAGCGTCAAGGGCTGGGCGACTCGGCGTCGGATACTCACTCAACTCTGCTCTCTTCCGACCAGTTGGCTTGGCACTCGCAGACCGTCTGGCAGACTCTCGCCGGTCTCGCCGAGTCCGCCGCTCTCGTCACGCAGACTCAACACGCCGAACGACTGGCCTCGGTCGCCTCGAGAAGCCTTCACTTTGGCCGGTCGGCCTTCGGTACCGACTCTGTAGACGGCCCGGCTCGGCGAGTTCCGGCTCCTGGAAACTGGTGGGCTGGACTGTCGACGCTGTTGCGTGTCGGCATAACGACTCGAGCCACGGAGACAGCCGATCTGGCCGCCAGCGGTCTCGAAGGCACCGATCGCCAAGACGTCGGAGCAGAGACGAGAGGACCTTCGGCGGTCTCGCTGTCCTGTCACAATCTGACGTCGGATGTTGGTCAGGCGAACTGTGCAGCAACCAAACTGGTAACCGGATTGCTTCGTAGTCAAGGTGGAAGAAAAAGGATTTTCATCTAATTTCACTTTTGTAGAAATAGATTTGTCAAAGCTGAATGTTTCATGCTCAGCATCGTCTGCCATAATGGACATGACAAGTAAAGTTCAAGACGCAGAGGCAGCATTTTCAGACCAAGAAGCGGGATTCTTCGGGTTATAGTTTCCTTTTAAAGTGTTGATTAAGTACAGACGAGATAGAATCTGCAGTCCTGTCCAGTTTGGAAGAGAATATATTTATTTGGTAGTCAAGGCCTAGTGAAATCCTATAGTCCAACCGGCAGTCTTGGTGGAACGATGTAAATTTTATTCTCGTTTTCACAACTCGATCGAGTTTCTATGGCTAGCGCAAGGAATCAAACCTTTCCAGAAATCCCTGCTACAATGGGCATGACAACTTAAAACTACTTTGCATTGGGAAACGAAAATGCTGCACAATCCGTCCATCGAACCGGGATGAAATATTTTTTGAGTGGCAAGCAATCCTGAGTGGAAAAAGTTAACTACCCCTCCATCGCCACCTTATGCAACTCAGTGTGAATACGATTTATTTATTTTTCGAATTAAGTATTGTTTTCGTGACTAGCGGTAAATCAGTAGTATGACATGTATTCACCCAATTTCGTTTAAGGTGATGAAAGACTGGTAGAAGAATAATTTTCCCACAATCATATGAGTTGAGCAGACGTTTCCATTCAATTTCACATTGTGGGAAAATTCTTCTTCTACCATTCCTTCATCACCTTAAACTAAATTGGGTGAATACATCTCATACTACTTATTTACTGGTAGTCATGAAAACAATACTAAATTCGAAAAATAAAGTGTAGTAGTCGGTTTTAATAGCAGCTATACGTTTGCCTCATCGACAATTCCACCAAAGAATATGATATGGCAAAAGGGCCTGGTGCCTGGATGAGAAAAACTTGGGTGAATACATCTTTTATTACAATTTATTTCGCCGATCCTGCCATCTTCAACTCTTCTTCTAGCAAAGGTATCCGCGGCCTGCCTAATCATAAGTTTGGCTGTATCTCCTATTGATCTCATCTGCCATCCGTGCAATCTATTCTGCACTCTGGGGCAGCTGGGATTTCCCATTTTCACGCAGCTTTGCTGATACAGCATTTAGGCTTAGATATGCTTAAATCACAACTCCTTGCAAAGTCCAAAGTACACTTCGGTTTCAGTGAATAAATCAACATTTGCAACAGCTTCATTTGGCAGCTTTAGAGCTGTACCCGTCTTGACTTGACCTTTGTGGGGCACTGACTGCACGACTACTCGTAATGTAGTGCAGCGATGACATCTTCCCAAGTGACCGATGGCTTTAGTAAAGTGTCTATTTAAGATTTATAGAGTTTAAAAGCCTACTTTTTAGCTATTTTGTATGTTTGTCAATTGTGAGCCCCATCAAAAGCCAGAACTGACAACTGTGATTTCAGCGAAGAGGTCGCATATGACCTCTGACCCATGTGATGGAGTGGTGACTTGTTGCCGAATCCACATTCGAACCCCGTTTCCAGGGCTGACGTGATCCAAACTTGGTCGAAACTATAGTCCGACCACGCGAAATGCAACGATATCGTGAGGTTTATTGTGGCAACCTTCAAGTATCCCTTTGCGCATCACCTTTAGTCACCAAAGCTGACTTAAGCGTCCATAAAGTTGGTTTCTATCTACAGCCTGGACTGTAGTTCCGAATTCGCCATGTCATCTAATTGTTGCCTCCAATGGCTAAGGAATACACCTTTTTTCTGGGACCATATGACCGCGGCTACATTCGTGATGGGTAGGTCTCGAAACTGTCAGTAAATCTTTACAATAATAAATTCTTTTCACTGTTTGTTGCTTCAAGTAAACTAAGAACTGATATTGGAGTTATTCCACAAGAGGCCATTGAATTTGCCTGGGACGAACTTGATGCGAAATCCGTTTCGGATTTGGGAAAAACTCCATTGCTCCTATTTACTTCACCGAAATCGAGCTAGAAAGGCCAATTTCCCATCGTGACGAGAGTCATGCTGGCCTATCAGCTCGTGAGTCCAGGGTTCGAGTCCTGAAATATGACCTTAACTAACCAAATCACTATATATTGAATCAAAGAGGCCAGATGTTGAGTATATATATATCACTTTTTAGGGATTTGCTGATGAGCTTTCTTGACTCGTTAGCTTGAATTTGGTTGTGACGATGTTACCTCGGTCTGATGATGTCCGTCATATGACGGACGAAATCTTAGCACCTTTTCACCGGAATCGAAGGAGATTGCCTCAGAAACAGCCTCAGCATGAATCTTTCAATAAAGCCAATCGACAGCTGCTCAAGAGGAATCCACAGTCGTCTTCTGGTGGAACCGACCTTCCAATTTCTTCACCCCACACTTCCACTCGATAAGGAAGTAAGCTCAACAATTATGAAACAAAAGATTCCTCTAAACACAATTTTTCTTCCTATTTACTTCACCGAGATCGAGCTAGAAAGGCCAACTTCTCATCGTGACCAGAGTCATGCTGAGCTGGCCTATCCGCTCGAATGTCCAGGGTTCGAGTCCCGCTAAGAGGATGTTGCTGAAAAGATCACTGCCAGTCAGACTGGCGATAAAAGCGGCCTTTCGGAATGTATAGCGAAGCATAATTCCATATTCTGTGCAACAGAAGGACCAGCGTAAACCGATACCATTCAGCAGAACGTCTTTCATCTAAAGCATAATCGCCGAGTAGAATTGCCCAGAAGCGTGATTCCCGCT